TGCTGTATACAGAGTAGGCGTATAGTAAGTCCTTCAATGGAGTAACCCAGAAAAAAACAACACAAAAATACCATATGCAGCAACAGCATTCTAAATGCCAATTTAATTTCTGATCTATTTCTTGCTTAACCAATAAAGAAATCCTGTATTTCCAATCTTCCATTTAGAAACATTTCTTCCTTAAAAGAATTAAAAGCTTCCATAATCCCTAAAGACTAACCAGTCTTTTAACAACCACTGTAGGAACTACTACAAATGGAATCAATGTTTGTCATGTAATAGTGACAAGGAACTAACAATCAGTGGAAACTGACATGGGTTGAATGTTTGCCCTCTCCAAAGCAGATGTGGAAGAATGACCACCAATGTGGTAGTGTTGAAATATAAGACCTTTAGGAGGTGATTGGATCTTGAGGGCCCCACCCTCATGAATGGATTAATCCATTATGGGTTATCGTGGGTGTGGAGTGGTGGCTTTATAAGGAGAGCACATGAAAAGCACTCTTGCCATCTTCACCATGTGATTGCCTGCATTGCCACAGGACTCTGTAGAGAGTTCCCACCAATAAGTACCTCACCAGATGTGCCCCTTGGACCTTGGATTTCCCAGCCTCCCAAACAATAAGGAATACATCTTGTTTTCTTATAAATTACCCAGTTTCAGGTATTCTGTTGTAAGCAACAGAAAACGAACTAATACAGAGACCTAGATCTTTTTTGTTGTTCAAAAAATATTGTTGTGTAGAATTCACCACAAAAATTCTGAAGCAGTCAGTTGCTCAAGGGACAAAACGATGCCTCAAGAAGTCCCAGGGAGACTTATGGGCAAACTTACCTTGCTGGAGAATGGTGCCATCTGCATTAACTGGCTGATAGACGATGGTCTGCCCTTCAGCAGTCTGTGCCACTTGCTGCCCCTGGACAGCAATCTGCTGCTGCGTCTGTAGGAAATAAATAATAACACGATTCAATAGGTTCCAAACACACTGACAAAGAAAAGAACCATGTGGGCCTTTTAAAAAATTTTTTTTGATGGTTTTCTTCCCCATTTTTACTATATGTGAAAGATTTGGCTCAGTTGTCTGACCTTTCCAAATCAGTTGTATTCCTGTGTTGACAGAGCTCCTGGAATTACCTGGGTCTGGCCAGCGGTGACAGCCGTCTGGGGCTGCTGGATGATGATCTGCTGGGTCTGACCCTGCTGGCCCTGCACCTGCACAGCCTGCCCACCCTGGATCTGGATCTGTCCAGGCGGGACCAACTGTATCTGAGGGAGAGAACACAAAAAGAAAGTCTAGTGACACTGGTCTCCTTTGGTTATAGTTATCCAAATTTCTTTAGAAAGCAGAAAATGTTCTGAAGAGGACAAAGGACAGAAGTCCTGTTCTGCTCTCAGTTTTGAACTAGAGATAACTTATTTTTCATTTACGAAACAATCAGGGAATTTTGAACACCATCTGGATACCTGATAATATTAAGGAATCAATGTTAGTTTTTTAAAAGATAGTGGTGGCATGGTTATATATTTTTAAAAGCATGCTCATTTAAAAATACATTGTAAAATACTTTTTACAGACAAGATGATGATACATATATATTAGAAATATATTCTCCCCTAGTCAAATGCTGAACTGACTATATATAGCCCAGGTGAACACCTTGACAAGGGCCTCAAGAGAGACATTGAGTCAGAAGACCAGCTAAGCTGTGGCAGGGTTCCTGACCCACAGAAACCACGTAATAAATATTTGTTGTTTTAAGCTGCTAACTTCTAGGATAACCTATTATGCAGCAATAGATAACTAAGGCAATGTAAATTATATTTCTCCTACTCCTGTTTCCAATACCCTCACCAATACTCAGTACTGTAATTAATGTTTGCCGATCTTTTGTCAATTTGCATTTCCTATTTGATTCCTAGGTTTGGATAGCCAAGCCTTAAATAGCAATTATGGAAACCAAGAGGTCCTGTGCTATCCAAATATACTTTCTTTCTTGTTTTAAGGCGATAGCCATTTTATTAGGAGCATTATCGGAAAACTGGCAAGAAGTTTGAAAAATATTTCATACATAGCTATCAAATTAAATTTTTGCCTATGGCTCCCTAGTCTCCCTTCTCATTAGTTTTTTAACTTCATTATATCAATAGACATTTTTGATCTGAGTGTTGCTTCAACAGAGTTTTCAGTTTGGAAGGAGGGTATTTTTAGAAAGATAGATTTTTAAAACCAGGTTGGCTTTCCTTCTATAATTTCAACCTAGGACCCCCTTGATCTGGAGAGAAGAGAAGAACATGCCTAGAGCCTTAGGTTATCACAGAGCTCACCAGTTGACAGGCAAAAGGAAATCAGGCCAATGGGCTCCAGTCCTAGAGACATTTATGGATCCTCCTTTGTTAGGGGACAGACTGCCTAGGTCTTCCTAACCACTTTTTCCAATACATAGCCCAGAACTGGCACTTAGAAAGTGTTGACAAATAAGTAAACAAATTCATCTGGTTATCTCAATCTCCTTCATTCCTGAGTTTCAGACAGCAAGGAATACCTGTTTGTATTGGGTATTAGGGTTTCCTCTTCCATCTATCCATATTCTTTGCCCATTTTTCTATTAAATTGTTATTTTTCTATCAAAACATAAAAATTATTTATATATTCTGGATACAAACCCAGTTATATGTATTAAAAATACCTTTTCCAAGTCTGCACCTTGCCTTTTACCTTTATTTATAATGTATTTCAATGTATACTAGTTTTAAAGTACTCAAAAAAATTTCTTTATGTCTTTAAGAAACCCTGCTCTACCCAATAGCATAAAAGTCCTATATTTTCTTTTAAAGTTTCCAAGTATGCTTTTTTTTACATTTAATGCTTTACTCCATCTAGCAAAAGTATTTTTGTACATAGTATGAGGTAGAAATCAATTTTCTTTTTCCGTATCATTCTTGAGCCATTTCTTCATGATATGTTATACTATTTTGCTATACCAGCTTCCAATATTCTTGCATCTATTTCCTGGTTCTCTACTCCAGTTCCATTGTCTGTATCAGGCCAAGGATCTTAACCTAAAACCATACACAAAATTTTGCATATATATAGGACACTTGTACTTTTTCTTAGAGGGCATAGGCTTCACTGGAATTCTAAAACAAAGAATGCAATCCAAAAAAGATTAAGTACTCTTCTTTAAAAACTGGCTATTCAAAGAACACTAAGAAGAAGCAACCTGTTATGTGAAAGGAATTAAAGCCTTAAGCATTCTAAGGGAGGCTAGAGAATCTCACCTAGAGCTTTATATCCATAGCAGAAATAATTTTTCCAGATTGATTACTTACAGTAGTTACAGTTCTACCTGGAGGCGGGGAAATAACCCTTTAAACAACCCTTGCAAGGTCCTTTACAACAACAACAAAACAACCAAAAAACAAACAACAGAACCACAACCGCAATAACCTGGAGGCGGGGAAATAACCCTTTAAACAACCCTTGCAAGGTCCTTTACAACAACAACAACAAAACAACCAAAAAACAAACAACAGAACCACAACCGCAATAAACAGAATTCAGAGCTAGACTGAACCTTAGCTATATCGCCTGATATAAACTGCATATTTGGATGAGAAAGCTGACAATTAAATGACCTGCCTGGGATCAGAAAGCTTGTTTAACGGCAGAACTGGGAATGAAAGTTGGCTCACTGCACTCACAGTATACTGTTCCTAGTGCTATCATCACACTGTCTCTAATCAATAGTGAAGAAGGTGTGGCAAGGGGGGCTGGAGAGGAGGCAAGGAGAAGGACAAAAACAAAACAGCAGTGTGAAACTGAGGAAAGCACACACTGAAAATACACTCAAAGTCTCACATATTTATGCATGGAGAAATGTGGAAACTATATTTTAGTCCCAACCACAATTCTATCCTGGCAAAATATGCTGATAAGACTTAAAAATGCTCTTACTCTTTAACCAAGAAATCCCCATTCCAAAGAAATTACCCTGAATTCAACTGAAAAATAAAACTATTATGCCCCAATGTGTTTACAGTAACTTTACTTACAAAAGCAAAAAACAAAAATAAAACAAAAACCCTTAAATATACTTTGTAAATTAGAAATTCTAATTCATCAAAATGACTGAACATTACGAAAGAATTAAAAATGACACCTAAGAAAACCATGTAGAAATAAGTTAAATTAAAAAGTAGGCTGGCCAGTTAGCTCAGTTGGTTAGAATGCAGTGTTGATAATACTAAGGTCAAGGGTTCTGACCCCCTTACTGACTAGACACCAAAGAAAAAAAGGCCAAGAAACTACACACGTGCTACAATTATGCCAAAAATTCTGCATAAAACACACAAGGGAGGGCTTGCTGGTTAGCTCAGTTGGTTAGAGTGTGGTGTTATAAGACCAAGGTCACAGTTTGGATTCCTGTACCAGCCAGCCACAAAAAGCAAAACAAAACAAAACAAAACAAAACAAAGACACACACAAGGGATTATGCAAAAATTATAAGTATGATTTATAAGCAATGTGATCATGGCTGATTTTTTTTTTCCAATTTATAAAAACTAATGTGACGTCTATAGCTGTTGATACAACACAAAGATATACAGTAAAAAGTTAATAGTTCTCCCTCACCCCCTTTTCTATGCTCATAAATATATCTAACTGTGGAGGCTGGGTTATTAATTACAAAAGATGACATCACACAGTATATTATTTCTCTGCAAACTAACTTTCACTAAAAATAGTACAATACTAATTCCCCCCCAAGTCAACAGTTCATCTTTTAACAATGACATAATTTTCCATGTAGTATGATTAATTTAACCATTTCCTTATCCTTATTAATGGACATTCAGATTACAAAAATTTTTTTTGCTAGCAAAATGCTGTTATAAATGTCTTTGCACATTTCTCCCTACATATTGATGCTTTTCTTCCTTTAAGATAGATTCTCAGAGGTGGGACTGCTAGATCAAAAGATTTATGTATTTTAAAGATAGTGAGATGCCTTTCCAAAATGACTTTACAATTTGAAATCAACAAAAATAACGAGTGTTTCCTTTTCTCCACACCCATTCTGGCAGTGGATATAGACACGTTTAATTTTTGCCAACTCGATAATAAATGTCCCTCTAATTTTAAAATTTGATGCCACAGAGTTACATGTAAAATTCCTACATATCTCTTTTAATCTATTCTAATATCTTTGTCTTGTTACTTTTGTTTTCTGCTTTTCTATCAGTCTTTCAAGTCAATTTTACTTAAAGAATCTAGCTTTTATTTATCCTTTCTACATTTTTGTTAGTTTTCTGCTTAATTAATTTTAACCTACTTTTTGTTCATTTTGTTCTTTTTCTAATTTCCTAAGAAAAATGTCATTCGCTTATTTTATTTCTTTTAAAATAAAGTATTTAAGGCTATAAATTTTGCCCTAAGTACAGCTTTAGGTGTGTGTGATCGGTTTGGATTGAAATATTTTATTTTTTGCTACTTGCTAGATAACTCAAATGACAAATTATATGGAAAGAAATAAAAAGAATAACATTTCTGACCAAAAAAACCCCAATTTCCAAAGAAGACCATAGATTCCCTCCCCCAGGCCCCAAGAGTGCCAATGTAAGTCACATCGATGAATTACTTTATAAACTAGTTTCTCATCTCTTTATATTCTTGTTGTTGTTGGTGGTGGTGTTTTTCTTTTTTTGCTTGGCAGCTGGCCAGTACAGGGATCTGAATCCGTGACCTTGATGTTATAAGGCTGTGCTCTAACCAACTGAGCTAACCTGCCAGTCTATCTCTTTATTTCTTTACAACAATTCAATATCATGCCTAATATCTTAGTCCTTACTGGAGATGTTCAATTTCTGCAAAGTTCTACTTTACATCACTGGTACGACAAAGGTGGAAAACTGACCAAATGTGAAATGGGAGATAGGAAAGCAATTAAATGCAACATCAATTATCAGTTTGCAACAACCTATTCTTTAAAAGCCTGTACTGTTATACTGTCTAAACATTTTTTTCATACCACTTACTTGCTGCAAACCCTGTGTCCCAGATACAGGTACTTGCATGATCGTTTGACCTTGTCCACCAGGGACAGCCTGGACCATGATGGGTTGGCCAGTTGATGTGATTAACTGGCCTCCACTGACCTGAACCATTAATGGCTGCCCCTGGACCTAGAATGGAATAAAATAAGAACAATGAAATAACATAAGACACAAAATGGTTTTTTATCAAATGACAATCACTGGAACTATTCTGCTGCCTGGCTAGAGAAGGAAAAGGTAGGAGAGATACTAAGAAAATAAGTCTTAAGTCCTCAAGTTATCTTCTTCAAATATCTATGATATCTGTGACTAAATGTCAAGTTGAATACTTTAAGGTCAGATATAACAGAGTATATCCAGAGTCTTTGGGAAGTCTCAATAGATATAAAGCATTTTATCACCAAACACAGGTTAAATCCATGATGAACTTTTAATCAAAACATCAAGACTATGTGCCTTTTTAAACCAGTATCTGGGAATTATCTCTAGTGAGGCCTGGAGAGGAGGCAATGGGAGGGAGAGGTGATGGTGGTGATGGTGGTTGACAGCAAATTCTAAATCACCTGGAGGGAGAAAAGCAAGCTGTACCCAGCAATGACTCCAGGAGGCTGAGTAGCAAGCAACTCTGGAAGCTTATGTAGAGGACCCTTTTCCCCCTTAGTCTCTCAAACAAAAACATAATGTACAACGTCTATCCTCTTCACCTCACTTTGAGAATTCTAAATAAGTTTGTTGTTTAAAGAGCCCATTATTAAAGACTTCTAGAAATATTTTCTGGTCAGTTGGCAATCTCTGTGGTGGAGTTCCTTACACTGGACTCTACAATATCTGCCTAGTTATTTTAGCTTTATCAGAAGCAATGACAAATATTAAAATTACACAGAGCAGTCAAGTATACAAAAAAATTCCCAACTTTCAAGCTTCTATGAGTAAAAGGATTACTCTAGAAACCAGGTCACTGAAAATGCTCTGTTGAATCTTGAGTCCCGATATAAAAATATCTAATAGAATGCTTTCTAGAAGCCAAAAAACAAGCCACTTTAGTAGTGAACTAGAATGATCAACAGAATAGCTAAACACCCAAAACTTTCATTTTCAGATTATTTATACAGAACAAAAGGATATCAAAAGAATATTCATATGACTAAAATATTCACTCAATGCCAGTGAAAGTATGTTCAAATAACAGTAATCAGTTAAAGGATCAATTTGTCCTGGATGAGTAGGTTAGACAGTAACACCCTCCTACCACCACCACCACCACCACATCAGAATCACCAGGAACATTCAAATCCTAGGTTTGTAAAACTGCTGAGAAATTCCACTTTACTTTAACGGATTTTTACAACCTGATTTTCTCATGCTCTTTCCTTCCCTTATTTCCCCATTCCAATCAAATTCCTTTTGCTGCACCAATGCTTGCATATGCTGTATCAGGAAAGAGTTCTCAGAATACTTACTGCATGAATAACTGAAAGAACTATTTAAAATTCTTGAAAAATAATGAGACCCCTAGAGGAAAGGTTTCCATATTTTCATAAAGTGTTTCCATTTCTTTTAAATAAAATCTGTATAAGTAAAAAGTACAAGTCTTAAGACACAACTATTAATAATTTTCTGGCTATCCACCACCTTAATTTCTTCCTCTATTGACATGCTATATGTGCACATGATAAACCATTTGAAACTCCAAAGAGCCCACTGCATTTACAACATACGAATGATTACAAGGACACATGCATCAGACAAGAAGCCATACAGTTAAGAGCATGTTACATTCCCATTCCACGAGTGGTTAATGACAATCCAAAATACTGTTTTATGTATCAATAAGATGAAGCAAGCATGGAAAACATAAAGCTGTTGAGCTCTTGAAGTTCTAATACAGTTCAGGAGTACCTACAAACTCAGCTTCTTTTAGACTAATTTATGTTCAGAATTGGCTATATATATCACCACCAAACACTATTGGTGGCAGGGGGGTGGGGGAACTGAAAGGGTTGAAAATGATTACAATAAGTGGTAGTTAACTGCAGGATGCTTAGAAGCACTAGTAAAAGTGAGATGCCAGTTCTACATTCTGGATCCTACTATGAACCATTTCCAATTCAATACAGGAAAAAGGGTAAGGCACCCAAATCTTACCAATTTCTCAAAAATATGGTCATTTTTGAGAATCTACAGACACAGAGAAGACTAGTACTCTTAATCCTATTTTCGTACAGGAACTGGCCAAATTATGACCCTAATTTAGGATACTTAACTTGACCATAATGTTAAATAATTGTACTGGTTAAGATTTCTTACAGTGGCTCTAACACCCAAGACTTATAGAAAGTATATACTACCTCTGCCCAGCTAAGAGGTAAATGGGGTAATCTTTACAGATCTAGTAATAAGACAGGTCACTATTTCTCCAGGAAAGGTAGTAAATAAACAGCAGTTAATAAGAGATTAACAAGATTCAGTACATAGATAAACCTTGCCAAGTACAATGATTATTTTGTTGTTGCCCTTTTAATGAAAATAAAGCATAGTCTAGTTCAGTTAGTTTGTGTGTGTGTATACATATACCTGTATATCTATTTCCTTCTCCACTGTAATGCAATTCATGAAATTTTACCATGTAACTGGACTACAGAGTTTGAACTATGAATAAGTTCTAGTGTTGCTCTGCAGAATTTCTCCCTGTCAATTATACTTTTTCTTTTTCTGGTATTCTCAAAGAAACAACCTAGCCAAATGTAGTTTTCAGAAAACATGAATAAGTTCTAGTGTTGCTCTGCAGAATTTCTCCCTGTCAATTATACTTTTTCTTTTTCAGGTATTCTCAAAGAAACAACCTAGCCAAATGTAGTTTTCAGAAAACTGATGCAAGGGTTACTACATGATTTGGCATAAAACATTAGTAAACTGGCATCTTATAAGCCTCAAAGAGAAGTTAGCAGTATCAGACATGCAACTGACTTTGTCATTCATATTTGAGATCCTAACACAAACAGCACCAGACATGAGAAGAGAAGAAGTTCATGCAGTGCTCACAGAGAATCAGAGAGGGCACCACTACCTGGAGGGTCTGGACTTGCTGGCCTGAGGCGGATGCCACCTGGGCCTCAGTCTGCAACTGGACAGCAGTGACACCACCCTGCTGCTGAGAACAGGAACAGGAAGAGCTTGAAATGTGTCAGAAAGGAAATGTATAGTTTAAGGCATGAGATCACTTTACCTCTTGTGGGAGAGAAAGGGAAGTCTTCTTTCAAAAGTCTCACCCTACAAAGGACTTTTAAAACATATAGACTCCCTACACTGAAGCTGTTTTGTTGAAGGTAGCAGGATCAAAGGTGTTGGCCCTTTCACCCCAGAGTGGACTTCAAAACACATTCCCATGACTCAAAAAAGTCAAAACAGTTGTTGTCATTAAAACAAAAATTTTGGGCCGGCCCGTGGCTCACTCGGGAGAGTGTGGTGCTGATAACACCAAGGCCACGCGTTCAGATCCCATATAGGGATGGCCGGTTGCTCACTGGGTGAGCATGGTGCTGACAATACCAAGTCAATGGTTAAGATCCCCTTACCGGTCATCTTTAAAAAAAAAAAAGAAAAAAAAATTGTAATGCAGTATTTCCCTTCAGAAGTAGGAATTTGATCCTTCTCCTTACACAGTTATTTTAATGCTCTTTTCATTTCCTCATATGAGTTCACAAGAACAAAATTACAAGGTTTTAACAAACTTGAAGCTTCAATAAAGAATTTCTGGGGCTTACATGCAATCACCAGGAAAGGAAGAATGAATCAAATCATCATTGTGAACCAAAATCATCTTCATGAGGTCAATGTTCTTATATTTCCACCCAACTGGACTACCTGAAAAGCAATGTTTTCAGTGATCCAACTTTATTGTTATATCCTCTAATAGTAAATTCTGATAGAACAGAAATTCACGCACCAGAGCACTGGTCTGAACCGAAGGCACTTTTGGAATCCCCTTCTCTAAGAAGGCAGTTGAAGGAAGCTGTCAGAGCCACAGCAGCTAAGTGGAAGGGAAGGCCAGCAAGGGTGTTTAAATAATTAATCTCTTTTACAAGAGTAGCTCCTTCCTTTGATCATTAGATTGGAACAACTCATCACTAATACTTTCTTTGCCCTCCCTAACCACTTTTCTATATTAGCTAAATTCCACTTCAAAAACAAAACATTCACAAAATATCAATCTTGGCCAAACGTCAAATTGAAGCATAGTACATTTCTTTTCTTCTAGGGGTAGAAAAAAGTGTAGTTTTATTAAAATAAACCCAGGTATAAGGCATCTGTAAATGTAATCTGTGCATAAATTCAAGAAAACAATGTATCTTAATTTGGAATAAACCAGCAGCAGAGAACTCCCTTCTAATATGTGCTTATCCATTAAAGTGACTGTTTAAATGTTATCCTAATGTTAAACTAAGAGCTCTTTAGAATAAGCACTCTTGTGGACCAAATCAAAGAGCAGTGGATTTCTTGGAAGCTATCTTTGTGGCCAAACCCGCGTGGTGCGGGCGCGACACCGAAGGTTGCGATCCCGTTGCCGGTCACGGTATGGGCACGACACTGAGGGTTGCGATCCCATTTACCGGTCACGAAAAAAGACAAAAAGGAAAAAAAAAAAAAAAAGAAAAACAGAATTAAAAGATAATGTGAATCCTCCCCATTCTGGCCAGCCACCAAAAAAAAAAAAAAAAGATAGTACGATTCTTTCCATGACCTTTTTGAAGGACCCTGGTGCAGTCATACATAGCTTAACAAAGGGGATATATTCTGAGAAATGTATCATTAGGCAACTTCATCCTCATACAAACATCCTGGAGTGTATTTAAACAAACCCAGATGATATACCCTACTACATATGTAGGCTATATGGTATATATAGACCATCACACATGAGGTCCATCCTTAACTGAAACGTTGTGCGGCACATGACTGTATACACAAAGCAGAGAGATCACCATAATGAGCTTTCATACACATCACCCAACTTCAACAACATGGCCAAGCTTATTTTACGTATATCTCATCCACTTTCCACCCCATCTCTGGTATTATTTTGAACATCACCTATCAACAGGAAGAGCAGTCTGTGGTCCTCCAGCTGTTCCAGTGAGGGACCCACCCTCCCTGCACCTCCTAGGCCATTGCCCCTATGATTCCTCACCCAACCTTCCTTCTGTCCCCACCCCAGAAATCACTGTGACAGCATGATGGCTTGTGGCCATATGGTTCTCCAAATCACTGCCCTTGCATAACAGAAAGCTCACCATGCAAATTTCTAGCTATAATTGGATTTACATATAGACTGGCCAATCTGGAAGCAAATATGATCAGCAACACAAATAAACCTGATAGTTATTTTTCACTGTGTGCTGACCAATTGGTTTCTGATTTTTATACCAGTATCTTCTGAACTGGTTGACTAAGTCTGTTTCTGAGAGATTGTGGGTATAGTACAGACAACCAGGTTTTCAGCCGGACTAAGTGGCACGAGGGAGGCTTTCCTAATTTCTATCTTGTCTCTAACACACAATATATCTATGTTTCAAAACTAATAAATTTAAAGTGATGATATAAAAGAATATGCATGATCCATTTACAAGATATCCTGAGAAGACAATAGTAATCTAGAAACAGAAAACAGATCAGCAGCTCCTTGGGACTGGAGAATGGATGGAGATGAGAAAGAGGGAGATTGGGATGAAACATTAGAAACATTTTCTGGAGTGATGAAAATGTTTTCTATCTTCATTGTGGTGGTGGTTGCACAGGTATATAAATGTGTCAAAACTCATCAAAATGTACATCTGAAATGATTATACTTTGTGTCTAAACTATATCTCAATAAAGTTGATGTAAAAAATAAGGACCATTAAAGCAATGTCCTCTATATTTTAACATATCCCCCACCCCAAATCCCCTTCCTACACTAGATCTTCTTTTTTTTTTGAGCTGGAAGGTCTGGGTGTCATTTAGTGACAACAATTTACACACATTTATTTTCTTTCCATGGTTGTTTCCTTCAAAGCACAGGCACAGAGCCTTCGAGAAGGGAAGTCTCTGAATAAGGGAATCAGGAATGCAGGCAAGCTCTGCCCCAGCAGGATGCAATCCCTCAAGCTAGAATTCCATTGGGTATTTGAGAGGGACCAACGTGGAGAGGAAGTCTTCAACAGGACTCACATCTTGGTCCAGGCCTCCTCTCACTATCCAAGTCCCTCTCAGCTTTAGGACCTGGGGCAGGCCAGCCAAATCAAGCCCACCCACCTCAACAGGGGCAGATTCTTCAATCATGCTACTCATACAGGCAGGCTTTTGTTGGTTGCATAGTTAATCAGCCTTATGGTAAGAGACAGATCACGTCCTCTCTGACCCTCCCAGCACCTCTCTTCAGCTGTGTCTGTGTAGGAGTCACTGGAAAAATCAAGGCCTGCTTTCTCAGTTCAGCTGTGTGTGCCATTATCCTCAAATCTTCAATAAATGGCAGGATAAAAGCAATACTCAGGCTGACAACTGTGCTCCCCAATCCATCGCACACACAGTACTGCTGATCTGCCAATTGCCAGTGCCTAGGCTGGAGCTCCAGCAGGCCCCAAAGTGCAACCCAAAGCCAGCTGGCATAGACACTTGGAAATTTTTGGTTGGGAGGTGGATAAAAAAGTGAACAGATGTGAGTAGAATTAAAGAGATTCATTTGATTTGAGCAACCGAGTAATTAGAGATCTGAAGTGATTTTACTTTTATTTCCTTCACTTTAAGCTGATCATGAAATTTCACGGTGATTTCTAGGCTGGGGTCAGAAGGAAGGCTGTGTGAGGAATCATAGGGACTATGGCCCAGGAGGTACAAGGAGGGCGGGCCCTCACTGGGGCAGCTGGAGGAGCACAGACTGCCCCACCAGTAGGTAGATGACTCTCCAAGACCACGAGAGCTGGAGTGTCATGTCTTCTGCGGCTTCCAGCTTGCACAGCTCAATTAGGCAGTCACAGGCAGCGGCCAGGGAGCTGGTGATCAGCTCTACTGTCTTGGAGGTGCCCTCATTAGAGATGACGGCTGTCTCCTTTTGATGCTCAGCCTTTTCCACCACAAATCTGGTGCTCTCCGCTTCCTGTGAGTCACCTGTTTGGCTTCCACTTGGTCAGAGTTGAAGCAGGTGTGAGTGGGTCCAGGAGAAAGAAATATGGCTGCCAAAGTGTTTGAGTCTATTGGCAAGTTCAGCCTGGCCTTAGCCATTGCAGGAGGTGTGGTGAATGCTGCTTTATATAATGTGGATGCTGGCACAGAACTGTCATCTTTGACCGGTTACATGGAGTGCTAGACATTGTGGTAGAGGAAGAGACTCACTTTCTCATCCCTTGGCTACAGAAACCAATTATCTTTGACTGCTGCTCTTGACCACATAATGTGCCAGTCATCACTGTTAACAAAGATTTACAGAATGTCAACATCACACTGCACATTCTTTTCTGGCCTGATGCTAGCCAGCTTCCTCACATATTCACCAGCATTGGAAAAGACTGTAATGAGTATGTCCATCACTACAGATATCTTCAAGTCAGTGGTGGCTCACCTTGATGCTAGGGAACTAATCACCCAGAAAGAGCTGGTCTCTAGACAGATGGGCAATGACCCGAGGAAGCAAGTAGCAACCTTTCTACTCATCTTGTCCTTGATGCACTCTAACCAGCCACACATACTCTTATATGAGATTTTTCCTTGACTAATTGCCAGAAATTTAATCTTACAAGACTAAAAAGTAACTTGAAGCACATGGGAATGACTAATAAAAATAACATCACAGATATTCTTCTTAACTAGTTTATCCTGGTAATACAAATGAACTAATTTAAGAACATTTAAATCCACTATATTTTGCTGGGTAAAAAAGGAAACAGCTTCAAATCTAGTAGCAATTCTCCCTCACATTAATGAGGGAGTGATTCAGCTTGGAGCATGATATTGAGACTTCTAATGGTGAATGCTATAAGCAACTGGCTTCAGTGAAGCCCTACATTCCTACTACAGTGAGCTTTCAGTTAGCAGAATTGCAATACAATCTGACACATTGTCTTTCCTCAAGTACTTTTCTACCCAAGATTATGACAAAATTAAGTCAGCCAGATTTAGTCTGTCTAGCTCTTGCTCCTAACACAAAATTTTGGATGTTTTTTCCTCAACAAGAGAGAAAGAGAAAGAATAAGGGTATGTGTTTATGCTGGCTAGCGTGAAAATTTTCTCTTTAGAGCATCTCCTCTAAAGATGCCATTTGAAGGTGCAGAAGCTGAAATTTAGCCAACAACTAGGAACCCATTCTATGTGGACCCACACACATTCTAAAGCTAAAATTTCCAGAAACTCAACTATAAGCATATGAAAAGCCCCAGGTTACCATATTTTACAATTACTACCAGGCAAAGACTAGAACAGTAGCTTTCTACTGTTTTTGACCACAACCCACAGTAAGAAACCTATTTCATATTGCAATTCAGTGCACACGTAACATATAAAACATATGTAACTAAAACAAAAGTTTCATAAATATTTATCCTTATACAACATAAAATATGCTGTGATATTTTCAATTTTATTATTAAAAAAATAAGCATTGGTCCACTAAATTTATGTTACAACTGAACAAATGGATCCTAACCCGTTTGATAGAAAACTAGACTAGACAACAAAGGCCTGTCCAGCTTCCCCCTCATCCTACAGAGGTTTCTGGATTGGAGCTTCCTAATTTGCTCCTTCTCTCCACTAATGATGTATCATGGACAGACACTGGTCTACAGGTTTTAGAAATAAAAAGAAAATTCTGATGAAGACCCTAACTTCAGATTATTTAAATTTAGTAAAGGAGTCAAAACCTGTACTGAAATCCTAAGAGAGAAACAAAGTAATGTGAAAGAAATAAAGTAAAACAAAGTAATAAAGGACAAAGATTTCTTCCAGCTTGGGATAAATGAAGGAAGGTGCCATCTGAACTGGTCTTAAGTGTGAGAAGAATATAAACTACTTGTACATGACGTGGGAGGGGGTGAATTACTTCAAATGAAGAGAGCATAAAAACATGGACAGAAAAATTTCAGCATAGGAACAGCAGACTAAAAGGCCCCATGTCCAGAGAAAGCTAGAGGCCACACTACTGTCTCTCAAAATGTCAGGCAAAGAAGTTCTGCAGACAGGTGGAGGCTCTAGAGGTGTTTAGCAAATTTCAGCATAGGAACAGCAGACTAAAAGGCCCCATGTCCAGAGAAAGCTAGAGGCCACAAAATGTCAGGCAAAGAAGTTCTGCAGACAGGTGGAGGCTCTAGAGGTGTTTAGCAAAAAAAAAAAAAAATGCTTTTTAGAAAGATGTCTAGGAAAAGTATTTGTTGGTTTTGAAGTGACCAGATGTACCCATTTTTAAATACCAAGGTTAAAACATCTATTCGAAAGGCAAATATAAATGTTTTTAAAAATATCTAAACTACGCTGCCCCATCTATTGATGCAGATAATATAATGATTAAATGAATTTAGAAAATAACTTAAAGACAGAAAAACTCATTCTACAAAGTAAAAACAAAAACTGTCCCCAAAGTTTTTATAGTGGAAAGTGTACTGGAATCCGAGTTTTCTGAAACCCATTCACTGTATGACCTTAGTCAACGTGATTTAAAAAACAGGCACCATATATTGAAGACCTACTCTATTGCCAGGAATACTTCACGTGATACTTCGCATGAGTAAAAATAATTTTTAGAGTACTACCGGAAAAAATCTTTTCTTCCCTAAAAGAAGTAGGCTACTGTTATGGGACAGAACCCACAAGCCAGAACTTGTTTTTTCAATCTTAGAAAAAAATGAGTTCTAGATCCCTTCTACCTGAACCAGACAAAATAACTGCTTCTGAAAAATTCCTTAGCAAGATATACAAAAGCGTTGTTACCAACTGGGCTTTCCCGCCTAAACTGTCATTACAGCTACCCGCTTCCCTATGCTCTTTACGCCTCAAACACACAGCAAAAGTTGGTGCCTCAGCACACGTTTTTCTCTCTGGCAGCACTGCCCTCCCATTCTTTCCTGTTTAAAGAATTCCCATCATCCTTCAAGGCCAATCAAGTGTGGCGATGACAGAAAAGACTTTCACCGAGTTAGGTATTAATTAGCTGTTCACCCGTCAATCTTAGTCAGGCAGGGAATGGTTCTTATTTACCTCTACTCACTCCTCCCTGGCACATATGCGACGCCTGGTACACACTAACTGCTCTCGATAATTGGTTCCCAACGGAAATTTCCTCCCCCCCCCAACCCCACCCCCACAACACTGTTAAATTTCTAAACATGGGATTAGAAAACAAACCAAGAGATGTGAGGACTGAGCTAAGTCAAGTCTGACACGTTCAAAGTGACAATAAAAGGTGAAAGAAAAAAAAGCACTAGTGCATTTCCAAGGGAGGGGGAAATCACAGAAGGAGCAACACCTAAGACTAATACTAAGAAGAGCAAGTGGTGCAGTCATGGGGAAAAGAATGCGCACGTCTATCAGTCTTCCAAGACTGAGGTTCCAGGCACCGAATGGGCTGGCCTTACAGCCCGGGGAAGAAGGAAGACCGCTTGGTTGGGCTCCAGGACGGAGGTGTGCGGTTCTGCCCCGGAGAGCCGGGCGGGGAGGAGAGGAAATGACGAGCCAAAAGGGGTGGTAACGGCGCCGGGCCGGAGAGCGGGGCCGAGCGGGCCGGGAGGAGGGGCGCGCCGGGGCAGAGGGAGTGGGCGAACTAACGGACCCCTCCCCCGACCAGGGAGCCGGCGGGGGAGGGGTCCGTT